CCCCCCCCCCCCCCCCCAACCCACCCACCCCCCGCAAGAAGCACCTCATGGAGCTCACCACTGGGACACAGTTGAATCCTGGCCACCGAACCCCCCGGTACATCAGACTGAATCCAGGAGCTACTGGTACCAGAGTCCCTGGACACCACAACTGGTTTGGCCGTATGAGAGCTTGTGGCCCCAATATTCGCCATCAGAACAGTCCTGTTCATCACGGGAATCCTCCCTGTAGCACAGACCTGTCCTTCGCCGAGTAGGCATTTGAAACCGGGATTGGACGATGCCCCAATCAGCCCGGCCCCGATGGTACTGACAGATCCGGAGGGATTTCTCTCGTCATCCCGAGGCGAGGCTGTGTCATTAACTCTCTCCTCTCCCCCAGACTACTACTGTCAGTTTCAAGAGCTGCAATGAAGGACAGCTCATGCTCTCGAAATACCGTTGGAGGAGGTGCAGCACAGGCAGCACCACCTGCTGGACATTTTGCACATGTTGGTACCGGCCAGGGTGGGCCTATCAAACGAGGACGCTCTCCAAGAGACACACACTATGTGCCATCCCCTGCCCATGTGCACCCCCACCCCAAAAGGGGCAGAAAAGAGGTACAGTGTCCTCCCTCCGCCCCCCGTCCCCTTCCAGGGTTCCAAGTTTCTATTCTCTCATCCTCTGTCCAATTCCCTGGTGATTCAGGCTGCTATGGAGTGAGCTAAACAACAGCACCCACGCTCCACCCCAGCTGACAAGGAGGGCAAGAGACTGGACCTTATGGGTTTGAAAGGTTTTCTGCTTGGATGGCCTCCAGTTCTGGATCTCGAACGACCTGGCAGTGATGGCCAAATATGACTTCTTACAATATGGACATGGCAAATGAGCTACCTCAACAGGATCATGCCCAATTCCTGTCAAGTCTAGAGGAAGGCAAGTTGGTCGCAAAGTCGATACTTCAGGCTGTGGTTGATTCAGCAGACGCGTTCTTGTGCATTTTGGCAACTGGAATAGTCATGAGGAGGGAATCCTGGTTTCCCTAGAGAAGTGCAGAACATGACTGAAGATGTCCCTTTTGATGAATCACACTTCTTCAATCAAAAGATGGATGACTCCTTTCACTTGCCAATGAACCTCCTCAGAAACATCCTATAGTCCACAGAGCCCATCCACCTAGTCCGACAGTGCAGTCCTCCACGCAACACCGTCTGTGCGTAAGCTATATTTCTGAATGCAAGTAGAGTGCTGTCTCACTTCGCCTGCATCCCACATTTCTACCAAAGGTGGTTTCCTGCTTCCATCTCAACCTACCCATACGCATACCTGATTTCCCAAATCACATGCTTTAAATGAGGAACAGCAGCTTGACTTCCTTGATGTACGTAGGGCCCTGGTCTTTTACCTACAAAGGACACAGCCATTCCTGAAATCTCCCCGGCTATTTGTTGCCATAGCGGAGAGAATTAAAGGGCAGGCCATATCCACCCAGAGAATCTCGAAATGGGTCTCAGGGTGAATTGAGCTCTACTATCAATTATCAGGATGGTTCCAACCAGGTGGGATATGGGCCTATTCCATGAGAGTGCCAACATCTACTACTGCCGCGCTCCATGACGTGACCCTTACGGACATCTTTTCTTCTCAGTTTGCTACAGAGTGTGGTTCTGTGGCGGACAGCTCATTTAGTGCAAAGGTCCTCCGCTCCACAGTTCAGTCTTCTTCCTCTCACCCTCTGCCTATCTAGGTACTGCTTTTGTTACTCACCCTCGGTGGAATAGGAGCCTTCTCTAGTACATTATTCCCCTGCTCCGGAAGTGCTGATCTGTGTAGGGGGCATCAGATCCTACAGCAAGAGTCACAAGCAGCATCAGCCAATTCCAGTCTTCCATGTCTGTATCATCAACCTCCTGCTCTGTCATTGGCACCATCAGGTACCTTCAGTGGGTCAAAAAATACCGCTGGAATGCCCACCGGCATCTCAAGGAAGCTCCACTTGTTTCTTGAAACAGGAGCAGAAGCCGAATCAAGAGAAATTCTTTGAGTGATGACTCCTCCATGTTGCTGGCTCCTGTTCCTGGGAGCAAGCAGATCAAAATGACAGCTCAACAGGATGGGTTGGTGGGTTTCTAAAACTTCCTGTGACATGCAGGGGTGGACAATCACGTATTCCACGTTGCACTAGGAACAATGAGCTGGAGTGGCCCTAGGAAGTCTGGGATATGGTTAGCTGGACTTGGGTCTGCGTATTGCAGTGTGGACCCTGGAGCCCTCGTGTGGGGCTTGGGCTCAAGAATTCTTATTACTTAGGTTCAATATGCAGTGTGGACACTCAGGCCCTGGGATGGCAGTGTCAAGTTGTGTAGATTTGGGTCCCACTAACCCTTGGTAGTGTATACATTGCAATGTAGGCATAAGTCATGTCTTTACTACAAACTTAAGTCGACATCCTACCGCCAGAGTTACTAAGTTGGTTGTGCATGTAAACACCACACTCCTTGTGTCGGTGGAGTGCGTCCTCACTAGCAGCGCTTGCATTGATGCAGGGAGCAGTGCAACTCGCCGCTGGGGGTTTTGGGAAGGGCTTGCAATGCCTCATGGGATCAAAACATTCTCTCACAGGTGACTGGAAACATGGCTTCGAGATCCCATGATGCCGTTTTCTCCCTCCCCTGATTTCATCTGCAGTCCATAGTATTTTGCGCCTTTTTTTCAAGAGGCTGCCATAGCGTATGCGATCTCCAGAGAAGCATGGTCCCCGCTCAGCTGTGCACTATTGTGGTGAGCGTTGCAGACACCACACGTGCCTTATCCTGTAGGATATTTCCAGAGCTGTGAGAGGAACTGCCGCGCAGAACATGACCATGTCCTTCAAGTAGCACTGCTGGAAACCATGGAACGAAGCAGTCGCCCAGCAGCTGAACATGGCCGAGTGCTGGTTCCGGTCCCGAGAAACAAGCACTGACTGGTGGGATCGCATCTTTATTCAGGTATGGGATTACAAGCAGTGCCTGCAGAACTTTCGTATGCACAAGGCCACTTTTCAGGAACTGTATGCGGAGCTCTCCCCAGCCCTGAAGTGCAGGGACATGAAATGAGACCTGCTCTGAGAGTGGAGAAGCGAGTGGCGATTGCTGTGTGGAAGTTTGCAACTTCAGACTGCTACTAGTCATTGGGGAATCAATTTGGAGTGGGTAAATCCACCGTCGGGGTTGCTGCTATCCAAGTAGGCAGGGCCATTAATCGCCTTCTGCTAAGAAGAATAGTGACTCTGGGCAATGTGTAGGACATACTGGATGGTTTTCACAGAATCCTAGGACAGGAAGGGACCTCAAGAGGTCATCTAGTCCAGTCCCTTGCAATCATGGCAGGACTAAATATTCTCTAATCATAGGGCGACCAGACAGCAAGTGTGAAAAATTGGGACGGGGGTGGGTAATAGGAGCCTATATAAGAAAAAGACCCAAAAATCGGGACTGTCCCTATAAAATCGGGACATCTGGTCACCCTATCTAATCATCCCTGACTGTGTTTGTCTAACCTGCTCTTAAAAATGTCCAATGATGGAAATTCCACAACCTCCATAGGCAATTTATTCTGGTGCTTAACCACCATTTCAGGTAGGAAGTTTTTCCTAATGTCCAACCTGAACCGTCCTTGCTGCAATTTAAGCCCATTGCTTCTTGTCCTCTCCTCAAAGGTTAAGGAGAACAATTTGTCTCCCTCCTCCTTGTAACAACCTTTTATATACTTGAAAACTGTTCTATCCCCTCTGTCTTCTCTTCTCCGGACTAAACAAACCTATTTTTTTCAGCTTGCCCTCATAGGTCATGTTTTCTAGACCTTTAATCATTTTTGTTGCTCTTTTCTGGACTTTCTCCAGTTCGTCCAGATCTTCCTGAAATGTGGTGCCCAAAGGTGACGAACTATTCCCCAAAGGTCATTTCTCTCTCTGGGTGAGTGTTATAATTTTTACACTGAATAGAGAGTTACAGAAAAGTATATATAGTCAGCGCCCAAAAATTATTTCCAAGGAAGCAAAGATCTATTTCTCAGTGCTTCTGGAATTGGAAGCTATGCATTCTGAAATATGCTCATTCCCATAAACACCGTGTCTGAATATTTCTAAGCTCTAAAGTTCCTCTTGTAAGATTCGTAGTATGGTACCATACAAATGACAGTTTCTATTTTGCCGCAATGGGGTTCGCTAACTGCGGTGAGGCGATAGACGGCACGCACATCCCTATCTTGGCACCAGGCCATGTTGCCACAGAGTATATAAACAGAAAGAGATACTTCTCTATGGTGTTGCAAGCGCTGGTGGATCAGCAGGGGCATTTTACTGACATGAACGTGGGATGGTCTGGGGAGGTGCATGACCCGCATCTTTAAGAACATAGGTCTGTTCAGAAAGCTGCAAGCAGGGACTTTGTTTCCAGACTGCAAAAGCACCCTTGGTGACATTGAAATGCCAATAGTGATACTGGGAGACACAGCCTATCCCTTATTCCTGTGGCTCATGAAGCCGGACACCTGGGCAGCAGCAAAGATCGGTTCAATAATAGGTTCAGCAAGTGCAGAATGGTGGCTGAATGTGACTTTGGCCGTTTGAAGGGTCGCTGGTGCAGTTTGCTCACTAGGTTAGACACTGTGGGGATGTGGGGGGAAATCCCCATGATTATAGCTGCTTGTTGTTATCTTCATAATATATGTGAAGCAAAGGGAGAGAAGTGTGCTCCACACTGAGCTCTTCTTATAGCCCTGGTATTTGGCTGCTCAAAATTAGCAGATAGGGGTGGGGTGTGGAGGAATGTGTCTCAGAGAGGGTTTGAAACCCCAGTTTAGTAATGACCCACAATAATGCGCGCTGCTATTCTGTATCGTACTTACCCATCGTCTGAAACTTGCTGTGACTGCTGTTTTGTTCTCATACAAATCTTTTTTTCCCCCCCTTCCTTTGAATTAATAAAGATGATTTCATTTTCAAGACATACTTTTATTGCACACAGATATAAACACTGAAAGGTCTGTCCAAGAATTAAATCTTGGAAAGATGATGGAATAAAATTGGGAGTGGGGAAAACATATTCATCTTCTCTTTAAAAGCACAGTGGCCTTGCCTGTCATACATCAGCATCTGTGCAGCTGTTATTCTTGGCACCCTCCTCTGTGGCTGAGTGGAAGGGATATTGCAGTGCCCCCCTTGCCTAGTGGAACGTGGGGTAGGGGAGCAGGGGGAAGTACAGCGATATTGGAATGTTGCTGTTCAGGGGCCAAAGAGGGAGTCGAACCTCAGGGGTTTTCTCCCGAAGGTCAACCATATGCCTCAAAACGTCTGTCTGTTCCTTCAGAATCCCCAGCATCTCCTGCGGCATGCCATGCTCGTTCTCCTGGGATGCTCATCTGCTCGCCATGTCCATTTTTTCTGAGAGCAATCCTCCACACCCTTTTGCTGGGCAAATTAGTTGAAACAATAGTAAAGAATAAAATTGTCAGACACATAGAAGAACATAAAATGTTGGGCAAAAGTCAACATGGTTTCTGTAAAGGGAAATTGCGTGTTAGTAATCTATTAGAGTTCTTTGAAGGGGTCAACAAACATGTGGACAAGGGGGATCCAGTGGACGTAATGTACTTAGATTTCCAGAAAGCCTTTGACAAGGTCCCTCACAAAAGGCTCTTACGTAAATTAAGTTGTCATGGGATAAGAGGGAAGATCCTTTCATAGATTGAGAACTGGTTAAAAGATGGAACAAAGGGTAGGAATAAATGGTAAATTTTCAGAATGGAAAGGGGTAACTAGTGGTGTTCCCCAAGGGTTAGTCCTAGGACCAATCCTATTCAACTTATTCATAAATGATCTGCAGAAGGGGGTAAACAGTGAGGTGGCAAAGTTTGCAGATGATACTAAACTGTTCAAGATAGTTAAGACCAAAGCAGACTGTGAAGAACTTCAAAAAGATCTCACCAGACGAAGTGATTGGGCAACAAAATGGCAAATGAAATTTAATGTGGATAAATGTAAAGTAATGCATTCTATACATACAATATGATGGGGGCTAATTTAGCTATAACTAATCAGGAAAGAGTTGTTGGATTCATCGTGGATAGTTCTCTGAAGACGTCCACACAGTGTGCAGCGGTAGTCAAAACGAACAGGATGTTAGGAATCGTTAAAGGGATAGAGAATAAGACAGAGAATATCTTATTTCCCTTATATAAATATATGGTACGCCCACATCATGAATACTGCGTACAGATGTGGTCTCCTCATCTCAAAAAAGATATACTGGCATTAGAAAAGATTCAGAGAAGGGCAACTAAAATGATTAGGGGTTTGGAACAGGTCCCATATAAGAAGAGATTAATGAGACTAGGACTTTTCAGCTTGCAAAAGAGGACACTAAGGGGAGATATGATAGAGGTATATAAAATCATGAGTGGTGTGGAGGAAGTGAATAAGGAAAAATTATTTACTTGTTCCCATCATATAAGAACTAGGGGCCACCAAATGAAATTAATGGGCAGCAGGTTTAAAACAAATAAAAGGAAGTTGTTCTTCACACAGCATACAGTCAACCTGTGGAACTCCTTGCCTGAGGAGGTTGTGAAGGCTCGGACTATAATAGGGTTTAAAGAGAACTAGATAAATTCATGGCGGTTAAGTCCATTAATTTCATCCTTAGCTAGGATGGGTAAGGAATGGTGTCCCTAACCTCTGTTTGTCAGAGGGTGGAGATGGACGGCAGGAGAGAGATCGCTTGATTATTACCTGTTAGGTTCACTCCCTCTGGGGCACCTGGCATTGGCCACTGTTGGCAGACAGGATACTGGGCTGGATGGACCTTTGGTCTGACCCAATATGGCCGTTCTTATGTTCTGTGTCCACTGTTCTAGAGGCATTCATTATCTCATTAAACATATCACATGTTCTCTTTTGCCTCCATCTTGTCTGGGAGAGCCTCTCCGCCGATGTGCAGGAAGAGTTGAAGGCCCCACTTTCAGCTATAACACATGCAAAGCACAAAGGAACCATTGTCAGGGCAGACCCAGGCTGTAGTGCAGAATTGCTATATAAAAATCACTCCCCTGAATCCATGCCAGTATAAAGTGGAACATTTTCATTTCTACAAGGTATTTACTGAACCGGTTTGCTGTCCCACCTATGCTGAGTATGGCACAGGGGCATGGGCGCTGGACCATCTGCAGTGGGAGGGGGGTCACCCGCGGTGGAACCGGAGGTGGCTAGGGGGCCATGCCCACCTCCCCTTTGTTACATGGATGTTGTCTGAATGTTGGGGACCAGCCTTCCCCGTCCCAAACTGCAAGTCTTAGCAGAAGTGGTTCAGGTGTGTGTGTGTGTGTGCTTGTGATGGCGTGTGGCCACTACAACATTTTCCTTCCCCCACCCATCCCCCCAACCCTCTGTTGCTGCTGCTGCTCTCCGGTGCCTGAGGTTTGCCATTTCTGAGGTCACTGCTGACCCCTGCCACCCAAACTACGGCCATGTTTTGTGGAGCGTGGGGGAAGGGGGGATTGCAGCACCTCCTGAAACATGTCGTCTTTGCTCCATCTTGGTCACTTTCTGATCTGGCAGAGGCACTCCACCAGTGTGTAGGGAGGTTCCCCTGAAGACCATATCTACAGAAGAACAAGAATTACCTAAACGCATGATTGTTAGTTCACACACAGCATCGAATTATTACAGTAAAATACACGTCTTGTAACATACCAAGCACACAGAAACAGTCTTGTACATTTCTATCCCCTCACCCACTTCCGCACTACACAAAGCAAAGGTAAGTTGGCCGTCATAACCGTGCAGCATCAACACAAAAAATCACCTACCAGGGGTCTCCTCTCCTGCTTCTTGCTCATTGGAGTGGGACTCCTGGGACTGGCTAGACACCTCCAGAATGACTCGCCATCCCACATGGCGACCCAGCCGTGGGCTACACGTCATCTGCTAACTCCACCTCCTCATCCATGACTTTGCGGTCAGGGTTAGGTCCACTTGACGCTGCGTTCAGCCATGCCAAAGGCTCTTGGCGGTGGAGGTGGGGTTGCAGCCAAGGATAGCGTCCAGCTCCTTATAGAACCGGCAGGTCTACGGTGTAGCACCGGAAGAACAGTTTGCTTCCCTTGCCTTCTGGTACGCCTGCCTCTGCTCCTTTATCTTCACTCTGCATGGCACTGTGTCCCAATCATTAGCTCTTTTCACACAAGCCAAGAGAAATGTGCCCGTAGGTGTCGAAGTTCCTATGGCTGGAGCACAGCTGGGACTGGACAACCTCCTCTCCCCACATACTGAGCAGATCCAACAGCTCCACATTGGTCCAAGCGGGAGAGTGTTTGCCATGTGGAGCCACCATGGTCAGCTGCAAAGATGCGAGGTGAGCTCTCCATGCCAAGTGGCAAATAGGTCACTCCTAAATAAAGGGATGTGTGTTTGCCTTAATTTGTATTTAATCTGTAAACAGAGTCATCAAGCAGGAAGGGAAAACAAAGGAAGTTCAAAGAGGTGGGGAAAAAAACTCCAGGGAATATCCTTCCACATGGATTCTGTCTCCTGGTTCTCAGCTACAAATGTTTTTCAAGAGGGGGGGACCAAAACTATAAAAAGGAATGACAAACACCCCAAGGCACCTTCCCTTCTCCCTGCCCACCTGATTCCCTGCACCTGAGACGGTAAAAAGAAAGAGCGGTTGGATGCTGAGGGAGGGTTTCTGACCTGAGAGTTTTGTTAGTAATCTGCTAAAACGTGGTGAGAACGTTTGCTTTGCAACTAAGAGAGTTTTTAAAGTAAATGCTAGTGTGCATTTTATCTGTATTTTTCTTGTAACCTGTCTGACTTTATGCCTTGAAATGTTTGCAACAACGTTGTATGCAAAGTTATGAATTCCGCCTGTATGATGATAATAGTAGATGTTCAAACCCACACAGCCATGACTAGGCAAAAGTTGTTAACCCAGTCTAACCTAAACAACGGAATGTGTGCTTCCCTCAGTTTGCATCTAAGTAATAGGGTCCTTGAGACAGCAAGAGGGGGAAATGGCAGGAGCAAAGGCAAATCCGCATTTCAGCATACGCAGGGGAGAAGAATGAGCCTGGCTCCACCTTCACCGCTAGACTCCACGTCACCTTCTTTGCTGTTTGAATAAACTTTGCTTTGAGGGGCAATCCTGAGTAGAATCCACTTCAAAGGGTGACTGGACTATAAAAGTGAGGGGCAAAAACACCCCAAGGCACTTCTTAGGTGAAAGAGGGTGGGGAAGAAGACAAAGGAACCAGCCCTTTGACATTGGTGGAGATTCTGACCTGACAATTTGGTCAACCCTGGGAACACGGGCTAAGAATTTTACCTTGAACGAAGTTGTGCTTGTTAAGTTTTAGAAAGCATTTTATCTTTATTTCTCTTGTAACCATTTCTGACTTTTAATACTTTATACTTGTGCTCACTTAAAATCTCTCTTTGTAGTTAAATAAACTTGTTTTATTTGTAATCAAAATGAATCCAGTGTTGTGTTCAAACTGAAGTGTTTGCTAACTCCAGTTAAAGTAGCAAATTCTTGAATATTGGTCCCTTGACGGGCAGCGGACCTCTCATATGTGAACTGTCCAGGAGAGGGCTGGCCAGTGCAGAACACATGTTTTGGGAGAAATTTGGGACGGGGAGTGTGTTGGGGCCACCCTGCACATCGTAACCCAGGCTGGTGGAGGCCAGAGTGGGACTGGAATGTTGCTGACAGGCTGCTGGGCCAGGGCTGTAGCCTTACACAAACACTCAGGGTGTGACCTGCACGCTGGTAGGCTGTTTGTCAGCGGTCCAGGCTGGGAGCTACAGCAGCAAAGCATTGTGAGGCACCCAGGCTTACAGGGCAGGTGGTGACACAACCTTTCGGGGGTCTGGATTGCACCCCCAGAATGTGACACAAGTATCCCACAAATTCAGTTGATCTTGCTTGTTTTCTGTCACTTGTGCAGGGTTTCCAGTTTCCAAACCTGATGTGATCTCCTGGCTGGAACGAGGGGAGGAGCCATGGGTCCCAGACCTCCAGGACCCTGAGGAAAGAGAGACCCTGAGAGATGCCTGCACAGGTGAGGAATCAGTTAAACCAACTCAAAATGTGTCCCTGAATTAAGGAAATATTTGGGATTCCTACAAAGCCCTTGTGAGCTCTCTGAGTTCAGGATTGTTCTCAGGAAGTGTGGCATCCTCATGGCAGACTTCACTTACGGCTTCCTACCTGTCCTGACTCATGCCTGACAATAGCTCCCTCCCCAGTCTACTTTCTCCCTGAGTGTTTGGTTGAGATTTAGACCCAGAATTGATCCCCTCGTCTCTGTCCTCTGGGGAAAGGTTTGGGGGAGATTCAGCTCTTTCTTTGTTTGATCTCTCCATCACCTACTTTCGTTTGTTTCCCCCCCTTTCTTCCATTCCTCTCCCTGTGGTTCCCTTTTTCTCTGGCAAATGGAGTGACCTGTGTCTGGTTTCTCTCTCTATCCTAGCAGGTGATGGGATGGTGAATGAGGTGGAAAATCCTCAACAAGACGATGCTGAGCAAGTAGAAGCACATGGGACGTTCTCAGAAAGATCCAAAGGGAATGTTTCCTGGAGTTGTGCACAGGCAAATGCTTGTGAGAGTCAGCACAGGCCAGAGAAAAAGTTCAGTAGAGACTCAGACCTTATTCGACATGAGAGAATCAACACAGGAGGAACACCCTACATCTGCCTGGAGTGTGGGAAAACCTTCAAACATAACTCAATCTTTATCATCCATCAGAGAATCCACACTGGAGAGAGACCATACGCATGCCCCGAGTGTGGGAAAAGCTTCAGTCGCAGCTCAAACCTTATCAGACATCACAAAATCCACACAGGGGAGACATCCTACACATGCCATGAGTGTGGAAAAAGATTCAGTTGGCACTCAAACCTTATCGCACATCAAAGAATTCACACGGGAGAGAAACCATACATATGCCCTGAATGTGGGAAAAGCTTTAATCGGCGATCAAACCTTATCACACATCACAGAATCCACACAGGGGAGACACCCTATAGCTGCCCTGTGTGTGGGAAAAGCTTCATTTGGAGCTCAGACCTTATTAGACATAGGAGAATCCACACAGGAGAAAGACCCTACTCTTGCTGTGAGTGTGGGAAAAGCTTCATTCGGAGCTCAGACCTTATCGGACATAGGAGAATCCACACAGGAGAAAGACCCTACTCTTGCTGTGAGTGTGGGAAAAGCTTCGTTCGGAGCTCAGAGCTTAATAAGCACCAGAGAATCCACACTGGAGAGAGACCCTTCAGATGCCCTGAATGTGGGAAAAGGTTCATTCGAAACTCAGAGCTTAATAAGCACCAGAGAATCCACACTGGAGAGAGACCCTACAGATGCCCTGAATGTGGGAAAAGCTTCATTCGAAATGCAGATGTTAATAAACACCAGAGAATTCACACTAGAGAGAGACCCTACAGATGCCCTCAATGCGGGAAAGGCTTCAGTTATAGCTCACAGCTTGTCTCACATCAGAGAATCCACACAGGAGAGAAGCCCTAGTCGTGCCCTGTGTGTGGGAAAGGCTTCAGTTATAGCTCACAGATTATCACACATCAGAGAAGCCACACAGGAGAGTAACATTATACTTGTATTCAGTAGGGCTGCCCAAAGATTTTTTGTTTCTTTTTTTGTTTGTTTTTGTTTTGGTAATATGTTGGCTAATTCCCACATAGTGGTCTTTAAGCTTGATTGCACCATTTCCTGTACTGTAGTCTCTCAGCTCCCCCGGGTGAGTTGCCGCCTTCTACCTTTTGCAGTTCAACCTTACTTTGGGGTGAATCCTGTGATCCTTTCTATCAACTCTTTTGTCTTATGAGTTATGGGAGTGTGTCCCCCTCTTGACAGAAATGTCCATCAGTCCGAGTTGGGAGAGAGAGGGTTGATCTCATCTAGCTACAGTGAGATAAAAATGATCTGTTCCTTGTCTCTACTACAATTGTACATCGAGTTATGCCATGTCTACACTACCACTTATGTCGGCAAAATTTATGTCGCTCAGGGGCGTGAAATAAACACACCCCTGAGGGCTTGTCTACACTGGCAAATTTTGTCGATGAAACTAATGTCAACAAAAAAATCGACAAAAGCAAAGTCGCCAAACGAGTCTACTTTTGCTCCCTCACACGACAGAACGTGTGTCCACGTTCAGGGCACCATTGTCGACAGCGTGAGCAATGCACTGTGGATATGTATCCTACAGTGCCTAGCGACACCATCTGTCACTAGGTGTTGTGGGAAGGCAGAAACAGAGCGCAGAGCATCCTGGGACATGCAAAATGTCCCATCATGCACCGCTTTGTGTCCCAGCCCCCCAATGGTTTCTGGCTTCTTTTCGTACCGTTTTTCCAAGTGTCAGTCTTTGTAGTGCGCGCCAGCATCTGCAGTGAGAGAGGATGGATCCCACACTTCTATGCGCTGTTAACTGTAATGAGGACATCGCGCATGGCAGGAGAGTTACTCGCAAAGTTACTGACAGAGGATGAATCTCAGGCACCCGAGTGTGATATGGCCAGCAGCAACTTATCAGTCCTTTTGGCATTCACAGAGCAGCTGCATACGGTAGACCATCACTTTTGGGCTAGGGAACCAAGCACAGATTGGTGGGATCGCATTGTCATGCAGGTGTGGGATGAAGACCAGTGGGTACAGAACTTTAGGATGTGTAAAACAACCTTCCTGGAGCTATGTGCTGAGCTGGCCCCTGACCTGCAGCGCAAGGACACCAGAATGAAAGCTGCCCTTTCGGTAGAGAAGCATGTTGCAATTGCTGTGTGGATGCTGGCGATTCCAGACTGCTACCGGTCAGCTGCAAATCAATTTGGAGTGGGAAAGTCCACTGTTGGGGCTGTATTACTCCAAGTGTGCAGGGCAATAAATTGCCTCCTGCTGTGGAGGATGTGACTCTGGGAAATGTGCATGAAATAGTGGATGGCTTTGCAGAGATGGGTTTCCCTAACTGAGGCAGGGTGATTGATAGTATCAGGGGGTAGCCGTGTTAGTCTGTATCCACAAAAACAACAAGGAGTCCGGTGGCACCTTAAAGACTAACAGATTTATTTGGGCATAAGCTTTCGTGGGTAAAAAACCCACTTCTTCAGATGTTAGGGTGATTGATGGTACACACATTCCAATTTTAGCGCCAGACCACCTTGCCTCAGAATACATCAATAGGAAGGGATACTTCTCCATAGTGTTGCAGGTACTTGTGGATCACCGGGGGCATTTCATGGACATCAATGCAGACTGGTCTGGAAAGGTGCATGACGCACGCATCTTCAGGAACAGTGGCCTGTACAGAAAGCTGCAGGAGGGAACTTTCCTTCCGGACCACAAGATCACAGTGGGGGATGTGGAAATGCCCATAGTAATCCTGGGAGACCCGGCTTACCCCTTACAGCCCTGGCTCATGAAACCTTACACAGGGCACCTGGATAGCAGCAAGGAGCGTTTTAACAACAGGCTGAGCAGCAGCCGCATGGTAGTCAAATGTGCCTTTGGCCATTTGAAAGCTCACTGGAGGTGTCTCAATGGCAAGCTAGACCTTACCGAGGATAATATTCCCATGGTCATAGCCACATGCTGCCCTTTGCATAATCAGTGTGACTCTAAGGGTGAAATGTTTGCTCAGGTGTGGAGCACTGAGGCAGAGCGCTTGGCTGCACAGTTTGAACAGTCAGATGCTAGGGCTGTCAGAGGAGCCCAGAGGGCTGCTATTAACATCAGAGAGGCTTTGAGGAACCACTTTGACAATGAGGGGCACTAACACATGTCTATTTGGAGTTAAAAGAACGAGGAGTACTTGTGTCACCTTAGAGACTATCAAATTTATTTAAGCATAAACTTTTGTGGGCTAAAACCCACTTCATTGGATGAATGCAGTGGAAAATGCATATATATATCTTCCTACTGTATTTTCCACTGCATGCAGCCGATGAAGTGGGTTTTAGCCCACGAAAGCTTAAGCTTAAATAAATTTGTTAGTCTCTAAGGTGCCATAAGGACTCCTCGTTCTTTTTGCTGAAACAGACTAACACGGCTGCCACTCTGAAACCTATTTTGGAGTTGCTTCCCTGGTGCATCCATGTACAATTTTGGGGCCCAAGATTCATGCAACGAAATGCTATAGAAGCCTGTTCCCGAGAGTGAATTAATTGCTATATGCTTTTGTAGAAGACGGAATAAAAACGCTGTACAATTAAACACCTTAGCCTTCAGTTATTGTTAAAAAGGGTAAAACCTCACTACTGTGTAGCTCCAGCTATCATTGTGCAAGTTGTGAGGGTGCGGGGTGGAGTGATGGGGAAACTCAGGAGTGCTGTGAAGTGAAAAGGAATGTGTGGGCATAGAGGGGGGTGAGGTCGGCAAAGAATTGTGCATGTGCTGCAGTGCAGGTAGACCACAGATCTGCTCAGTCTGCAGCTGTATCAAAGACTTGAGCATCTCTGTCTGATCCTCCATAACTTTTATCATCCGCTCTGTTGCTTGCCTAGCAAATCCTGCATTCTCTTTTCTGTCCTGACTTTTGTCTTCCCAGCACTCTTTGCGTAATCTGGTCTGTCTCTCATCACGCTGCAGCACCTCCCTGAACATGTCTTCCTTGCGACTTCTCAGCTTCTTCCTTATCTGCTGAAGCCGGTCGGCAGGGGTGTGTACTGTGTTCCTCAAGGTCTTGGCTGCTGTGGACAATGCACAGAAGAGGGATTGTTACGTTCCAGCAAACGATTGAAACATTTCAGTAACAAGGGCCTTTTGCAACTAGTAGCAATCACTTTCTCTGTGACACACAGCTCCGCGAGCACCCCAATCATGGTGAATGTCAGGAGTGGGGGGAAGGTGGTTGTGTGTACGCACAAAACAGTCGCGGCTTGCAGGGCAGATTTGCAAGGAACCCATTCTAAAATTATCACACACTTTTTCACAGGCGGCCAACCTGCTGGCTGACATCTCGCTGCTACGGGTGACCAGAGAAACCAGGGCACAGTTGTTGAATGCTTGTGGCTTTCACCCCGGTCTATATGCAGCTCAGCTATGTGCCGCTTTGGTCCCAGCTCCAGCAATTGCTAAATGGCAGGGGACAGTTTCCTACAATGGGGGAACTAACGAGGCTGCAATCCCTTGGAATCTGCAGCAGAGGAACAACAAGTACCTCTTGGAAACTTTCCAGAACCTCTCTGGAGAATTCTCTGCAGCTCTCAATGTCCATCGAGACCCTGCTTGGCCATGCAGATTAGTGACCCAGAGTGACCCAGCTCACAGAAAACACTACCTGCCTCCCACTTTTCGATTCCCTACACAAGTCTCAGCAACTTACCTGGTGTCTCATCTACTTCCTGCTCCACTTTTCTGGAGTGGAGAAAAGTTCCTGGCTGCTGACCCCACTGGCAGCTTCACATCCTCTTCTAGCTCCACTTCTTCATCCAGAATTTCAGCCTCCGGGTATAATGATGCTGGTTCTGGCAGGACCCAACCGAGAGTGCCAATTCAGGACAAATTGCTAAAACAGGGCAGTTACAGCCCAAGTCTGGGGTTTTTCCACCTCTAAGGCAAACCAAACCAGCCAGACAGTGAAGACTTTGGTCTCACCCCACTGGCTAACCACAAGTCACACAAGCAATTCCCTTAGATGCTCCAGTTTCCCAGTATCACCACCAGTCCCACTCGTTATGGGGACAAATGGTTATGAAAACCAATACCCCAATAAAAGAAAAAAGGTCCTCTTGATACCAAAGGACCAAGCCCGAGACCCAGGTCAATATACAAATCAGATCTTACCCACAAATCACGCTGTTCCCAATCCTTTAGACTCTAACATCTAAAGGTTTATTCATAAAAGGAAAAAGATATAGATGAGAGTTAGAATCGGTTAAATGGAATCAATTACATACAGTAATGGTAAAGTTCTTGGTTCAGGCTTGTAGCAGTGATAGAATAAACTGCAGGTTCAAATCAAGTCTCTGGAGTACATCCCCAGCTGGGATGGGTCATCAGTCCTTTGTGTAGAGCTTCCATTTGTAGCAAAGTCCCTCCAGAGGTAAGAAGCAGGATTGAAGATAAGATGGAGATCAGGCATCAGCCTTTTGTAGTCTTTTCCAGGTGTAAGAACACCTCTTTGTTCTTACTGTGGAAAATCACAGCAAGATGGAGTCTGCAGTCACATGGGCCAGTCCCTGTATCCTTTGCTGAGTTATAAGGCGTATTTGCCTTTCCTCAATGGGTCAATTGTATAGCTGATGGTCCTTAATGGGCCATCAAGCCGGCTCGGCAGAGCTAACACCAACTTGTCTGGGATGTTTCCCAGAAGCAGAGCATAAGTTTGAAATACAGACAGAATAGAGCCAATATTCATAACTTCAACTACAAAATTGATGCACACATATAGACAGCATAATCATAACCAGTAAACCATAACCTTGTCTTAGACACCTCATTTGACCCCGTTTATACAAGATTTGGTGCCACTACAGGACTTTGGTTGCAGCCATGTTCTATATCATCCCAGATTATATCAGTAACGTCATACCGGGTTACCCCCTCTTTCTGCTGCCTGCGAAGTATCCACGGGGCTATCGGTGATGGAGGTGGGGTCACCACCGAG